TTTAAAATTGCCATTGACAGGGAGTCCTCCATGACCCTTCACAGTATTGTCTGTAGTACCTTCACCATTACAAATGTATGCCTTGCTTGCAGTCTGAATTGTCTACCTTCAACTTCCAATCATTGAATCTTGTTATACCTTTCTCTGCTAGACTGAACTTCCTATTATAAAATATAAGTACTTAGAGACTGTGACTGCAAACTATACTATGTTGACACAGATTTAATTCTCACTTATAGGAATATTTATATGGCCCAGTCAATACTGTTAAAAATTGAGACTATATATACAACTAAAACTTGATAATTTACTTGGATGGTTTTATGTTCATTTTTTTCTTTCTGTTGATATTTATATGAGCAAAGCTGTAGAAAGGGATCCATGGAAATTTTAATACATATTTATTGTCATGAGTATTTTCAGTGGCAGTGTTTACATAACCATCTTGAAAGAACTTTGTGGGTTTGGAAGAGTGAGAATGGGAAGAAGAGAGGTTTTGACAGGACCAGGAGGAGGAAAAAAACCATATAAATAGAAAATGAACAGCAGTCATAAGGAGGTGGGGGAATTTGTGAGGGCTGTGACAATAGTGTTCCTGCAGCACTTTTGGGCTAAAGAGATATTTAATCATCTCATTGTTGCCTGGAGTACATCTTGGCATTGTGGTGGTAGAATGATTGCCTCATAACTGATATTCTTTGATACACCTGTGAAGGAGGCATTTAAAGGGGTGTGTTGCATTGTGCCCTAAAGGGTTTCTGCTTTAATCACAAAGGGCTAAGCAAGGTCCTTACAAAGGTAAAGAGTGGAGAGAAAACAAGCAACAGCAGTACCAGAGTAGCAGGTAGGAAAGGAAAACACATCAAGAGAATGTGGTGAAAGAAGATATATATGCTGTGCTTAATGCCATCATGTCCAATGTGACCGCACTCACTTGGTTATCACTCTCATTGGAAGGCAGTGGGAACCTGAATGAACTTCAATTGAGTCCTGAGGCTGCTGTCAGAGCAAGAAGTTCCAAAAGAGGTTCAGTGTCATCAGCAGAAGCAGCAGGATTTTATTATCCAGAAGGGTACTGAAAAGGCCTTCCCTCTGAAGACAGAGATAAGAGACATCTAACTGTGCCCCAAACTTGCTGCTACAGGGTTCCCCCTGCTATACAGACTGGACCAAATATCAAGACTGATTCAGTAATGTAATTGCAAAGGGGTAATTGTATTTGTTTGGTACTGGTAGCTTTCCATTTTTATTCAGTAAGATTTTTTTTAAATACATTATTTTGTAAATTATATTATTTAAATAGTTATCGCTTTTCTTTAATATTTGTAGTTGTAGTTTAATGCGTCCCAGGAACTATTACAAACCATTTGGCAAGACCCTGATCCTCAACTTTCCAGTATCTACTTTTGTAGATCTTACCCTTGGGTATGTCTAGACTGCATCCCTCTGTCAGCAGAGGGATGCAGATTAGGCAGGTTGACATTGCAAATGAGGCAGGGATTTAAATATCCCATGCCTAATTTGCATAAAAATGGCCACTGCATTTTGCCAGCTCAGCACTTTGTTGGCAAAAAGCAACAGTCTAGAGGGGGATCTGTCGAGAAAGAAAGCCTTTTTCAACAGATCCTGTAAACCTCCTTGTAGGAGGCATAAGGGATCTGTCAAAAAAGGCTTTCTTTCTCGACAGATCCCCCTCTAGACTGCCGCTTTTTGGCGACAAAGTGCTGAGTTGGCAAAATGCGGTGGCCATTTTTATGCAAATTAGGCACGGGATATTTAAATCCCTGCCTCATTTGCAATGTTGACCTACCTAATCTGCATCCCTCTGCCGACAGAAGGATGCAGTCTAGACATACTCCTTGGTCCCTGAATGGGATTAACAGGTGTACCTCAAATCAAACAAATAATAGTAATAATAATGAGAAGACAGCACAGAAAAGTAATTGAAAAATAGTCTCCATTATGCTTCCTTTACATGAGTAATCAAATTATATTTCAAAATAGTACTTAAAACTAATCTTCTATTTCATACAGTAACTTAAAATTTTGACTACATTAATATCCTTAACAAGGGATAATTTATGAGAACCCTCTGAAAATTTTGGATTCAGTTAGAGTGGTGTTTGGCTGGAGTTCAGACCAATTCTTACTTTTTCTGACTTGGCCTGATTATCTATATAGATATTTTATTCTTGTCATTACAATATGCAAGAGAAATAAAACATCAGTAATTTCTCTGTAATGGATAGTATTTCAATAGGAAGAGTTAAATGGCTGTTTCAGGGTAATTAAATATATAATCTGAAAAATTTGTTAAAAAAATTATACTAGTAGAAAATGAAATAAAAATGAGAACTCCTTAGTTTAATTAAGGGTCAAATAAAAAAGGCCTTGCTGAAATGACTTTTGTTTTATTGAATTGTAAAGTCTCCAATCCTGTAAATTTTTGGGGCTCTTCTGCTGCAATTGGTAGCAAAATCACAGACCCACATGGAGTCCCCACATAGAGTCCCAATGATATTGTCAGAGCTCTGTGTGGCTTCAGCACAGCAGTATGTCCTTACGCTGTCATTTGCTAGATTAAGACTTTACACACATGATTAACTTTACACATGTGAATCATGCAATTGAACTCAAATGAGGGAAATGGCTTTATAAAATAGCCAGGGCTGGATTATAAATTACTATTATGGGCATCATGCAAACACAGAAAAGAGACAGTCCCTGCCTTCAGGGACTTACACTCTACAAGAAACAACATGCAAATTAATATGTGAAGAATAGACACCACTTTTTTAGTTACATGTGTTATTGTGAGGGTTTTTCATCTCCAATTTACTTGCAAAAACCCACAAAGGAAAATATTTCAAAAATGGCTAGAATAGCACTATGACTTCTAAGCAATATTGGATCTCTTGTTATTATCTACTTTGATGTGAATCAAAGTCATGATACCTAAATTTTGTAGAAAAGCCCAGAATTTTTTATGTCTAGCAGAGCCATGAATTGAAATTCTCAGAGTTATCTTTTGAAGGTGGTGTGGAGGTTTCTTTGAAGACAAGGAATGAGAGGTAAGATATGGATGATCAGTTTTTAAAACGTGTATGTCCATGGATGAAAGGGTGTTTTTGTCTTTTATTATTATTTTGTGTGAGTTCGTAGAGAATGTAGTGATTGTTTGATTTTACCCTCATTGTTGTTGATGCGTTGTCTGATGCATGGGATGAACTGCATCATGTGTTGTGACAGGCATGTGTAGGATCTATGGGTCTTGAAAGTGGGATAATGGTGGTGTTGAAGCAGGGGAGACACATGTCTAGGTTTTGCATCTGTTGTTATGGCAGGGTGTGCTGCTGCTTTGAGTTTGTTCTGGTCTGTGCAGAGATTGCTTCTGATGATTAGTGTGGTGAGGCAGTGGGGGGTGGTTTTTCTGAAGACCAGAGGAGAAGATTCAGGGGGAAAAAAATTCATGATGTGGTCTTCATGAAGTGTGGGTTGTAACTGATTAATGATACCTCCATAGGGGTTCCAGTATAGAGTGGTAGGTGACAGTGAGGTGTATAGAGTCAGAGAATTTTTCTTCTATTTTAGCAGGTTTTCTTGGGGTATCTGGGGAGCTTGTTACATGACGTGATCTACTTCTCTGGTGGAGAGTCCTTGTCTGGTGAAAGCAAATTTAAGTGTACGTATCCCAGACTTTTGGAGCATATTCTATGCAATCTGAGTGCCTGGCTGTATATAACAGCAGTAGTTACTGCGTCTATGGAGTAGTGATCTGCTGGTTTCTTATATATAGTTGTCTGTAGAGTTCCATTGCTGAAGTTGATCATGGTGTCTAGAAGCTGATGCTGATGCAGGAGTATTCTAAAGAGAATTGGATGGATGGATGGATGGATGGATGGATGGATGGATGGGCGTGGTTAAAGCTGTGGTAGAAATTTCTGAGCAGGTTTAGGTTTTGTGCCCAGAAGATGTTAATACCATTAATCTATGGCAGGTATTTCATTGTTATATCAATGTTTTAAGGTATGTAGGTACTTTAAGATACAGACAGGTGCCTTTTGGGATTTCAAAAGTGCCTAGATGCCTAATTTCAATCAAAACTATTCTAGCCCTTTTGCTTAGATATCCACTATCCTGGGACTTCATTTGATGATGTGGTGACAGATACCATATAAAAACTGAAGACAACCAGATTTTGCTTTCCCCTCCAGAATTCTCCAGAACCCAGCAAAGTTACTTAGACTGTGGAGCTGTAGGAAGGATTAGGAGCTTAATGCTATTTTCCATGTCACCATTCCATACATGGAACTCCCTTGGCTGTCTATGGGAGTTTTGAGATGGGTTGATGACAGGGAAAAATGTTATATTAATAGGTCAATTCTTTTATTTACTAATTATTTACTATTTATTTACTCTAATTTGACTTTTGTTCACAGTAAATGTTTTTTCAAAGACTAGTCCATTATCTTTTGTTAATATCTAGCACTTAATATAATAAAAAAGACTAGCACTTAATATAATAAAAAAGACTATAGTTACACTGAGGTAATATGCTCCACAATAGGGCACATGGCAGGGAGTATATTATCATTATTGCCCTATTGTACCAAGGTAATGAGACAGAGAGAGGTAGAATGATTTACCTGAAGTCATAGAGTGAGTCAGTGTCAGAGCTGGGATTAAGATCCAGGGTTTCCCAGTACCTATTCCCACACTCAGACCATTTGATAATGCTACTTCATGTGCTATATAAAAATTTGCTATAATAACTATGTTAAAGAGAAAATTACTTGAAACATAAAATAATATATAATTATTTTGTGCCCTGCTATCTAGAAACTGAAAGATGTATTTTCTCTCAGTAGATAAGCACATATGGTACATAAAGTGAAAGAGAAAGGATTCTGTCCTTTAAAGTTATTTTTTACTCAGAAAAAATGAACATGCTTTATAACAAATAACTTTTTCTAATACATTTTAATAATTCTGTATTTCAGAGTAGAAGATGGCTTGTGACTTATCTTGTAGAGAAGAATGACTGAAATGACTGTTTGGAATTATTCTGGAATTAAACTAGAATGAGGTCTCCTCTGCCAATGTAAGGTAATATTGCTGAAAGGCTAGAAATCCAAAGTGATGTATGTCCAGCTGACTGCGTGTTGTTGACAGTGTCAAGCCTGGCAAAAGTTCCATATGCCTGAAGCCAACAGAGCCAAGAGACTGGGTAAACCAAGGGATGAAATCACTCTGTGAGACATGGTATACACAGGCCCCTTTCTAAAAGGCATTGAGCCAATGGGAGCAGACACAATATTAAAACCTTCTGCATGTGGTCAAGTGATGTGCAGGATTTACTGACAAAGTCAAAAGTTCTGCCACAACGAGACAGCATCTTGGAATTGCAGTGAAAACTGCTAAGAAGTTATTTACTAATCCACCTACTATAGAACATGAAATACAATCACATGCTAGTTTTCAGTTCATTTGTAGAGAACATTTTTTCAGCATCACAAATCTCATTTAGAAAGAAAAAAGAGTCTTAAATGAAAAGGTGGGCAGTTAATCATAGATATTCCTATCCTGCAAGGAGATGTCAGGGACATTAGTTCTGATCCCCTTTGCCCTGATTTAAATCAGACCTAAGAAGTTTGGTATCAAATGAGAGCAGAATCAGTCGCAGGGAGTAAAGCAAACAAGATCTGGCATATAATGTGCATCAAAACCAGTGTGGTTTTTAAAAAATGTTTTTTTGTTCAAGTTGCAGTGTCTGTACAGCTGCAGAAAATACACCGAAGTCTGAGGTATACCTTGTTCTGTCTAATTCTGCTTCCTTGAGGTTACATAAATTATGTACTCCTTCACTTTAGATATCAGTCTGGTTTCTTAAAATATATTAATTATTATGTAATAACTTTTACTAATTGTTTCTCCCCTTTGAGTATTTAAAAAATTGGTGTGTTGACAATAGTAAAGGATAATGAATGGTTGTTAAGTTGTCAGCAGTGTAAAATGAAGTACTCAGTCTCTGCTAATAATTTTGGTTAAATAAAGTCAATAAGATTTTACTAATATTATGCCATTTTTGTGGGGGGGGGGGGGGGGAGGAGGAGGGGGAAGG